TGGTTATCCTTTTCATCCCTCTCAAAGTGACAGCCCCCCTCCCCCATCCACTGTCCCCCTACCCCTGATATCATACATATCTATTAGAATTCCATCGACTCCATTCCCATACTATACTCTATATCCCATGACTATATATGTATTAAATTATAGTTGACATATAATATTATTCACCAGCAGCTTTCAGATGTACAGTGCAGTGGTCAGGCCTCTACACCATCCATGAAGTGTTCTCCCTAACAAGACATGAGTCCATCTGGCCCCCTAAAAAATATTTACAACATTATTGATTACATTCCCCAAACTGCCTTTTCTATCCCTGAGGCAACATTGTAGTTACCAATTTATGTTGTCTCGTCCCTTCCCCTTTTCCCTCATCCCCACCCCTATCCCATCTAGCAATCATCAGTTTTTCCTCTGTGTCTCTGAGACTATTTCTGTTTACATGACTCATTTATTCAGTTCTTTAGATTCCACATATAAGTCAGAGCATATGGTATTTGTCTTTCTCTGACTGACATTTCACTTAGTGTAATGTTCTCTAGCTTCACTGGGTTGTATAGGGTGAGGAAGTGCTCCAGGGTGTCCGTGTGTTCCATCCCATCACACTCCTTTCATTAGTCTGTTTTTCAGTCCTGGTCAGGGTTAATCACCTCAGCCAATACACTATCCTCCTTATTTTGCTTTTTGCTTTATAGCATAAAGAGCCTGGAATGGTGAGTTGGTGGTCTCGAAACTAAAATTCAGTGGAACATCTGTTGCTTCTACTTGTAGTCTTAAAACTTCCAGAATACTAGAGCTCAGAGGACAAAAAGCAAAAAATTTTATAGTGGGTCGGTCATTAGATGTAATCATTAGAAGTGTCACCCTGTTCCCGTTCCATGGCCTACTGGTCAGCATATTATGGGTGTATGAGCTTGCTAGTTCCACAAGTAGTTCCCTCATAAAATTGATATGGAACTCCAGTATTCCAAGAGGGAAATGTGGTAAAATACACACAATAGGTAGATTTCAAACTTGTTAAATATGACAAGTGTCAGGATGTTGGAATATTATTGTAATGTTGATTTTAGTCAATTCTACGTGTAAAATAATATAAAGTACAATTTGGATCAAATTTTATTTTATTCCAAATTGGGTAAATTTCTTGAATTGCAAGAATAAGGAATTAGGAAATGTGCTTTTGTATAATGAATGATCTAAGAACAAAGAGTTCTAGTAGTCTCTATTTTTTTCCCTTATACTATAAACAAATAACAGAAGAAGATTGATTTTCTTGGTTTAAAAAATGACTTATTTATTCAATTACTTTTGAGGTTTTTTTTTTTTTTGTAGTTTTACATTAAATTATTGCAGGACTGTTAAAAGTTCAAGGCGTGTGAATTTATTACACTTTAAAAAATAAAGTCCATTTCATTTTCAATGGATGAATTAAGAAACATGTTTATAATGTGATATAATTTACATATTCTGTAAATAATATAAAAATTAAAGGAATAACATTGGAAATTAACACAAGTATTTATTTATTTATTTATTTATTTTACTCTTTGGAAGCATAGATTGAAATATTGCTTTCTATCAGCAAAAACTTAGTAAATATTATTTAGAGACTTCAAATG